GGCTCAATGATGCATCCAGTATATTAATTTTTCCTTCTTTTGTTGTGAAATATAGCATACATGCAGAAAAGTACATAAATCATATGTAAGTTTAACAAGTAATTATAAAGTGAACATACATGTAACAACCATCTAGGTCAAGAAAAAGAGCATCACCAGTACCAAAGAAGACCTCTACTTTCTGCACCTGTGTTGCTTCTCACTCCTTACCATACATTAGGGAAAATGGGATTGTATAGTTTTGCCTGCTGTCAGACTTTATATTCTGTATGATTGCTTTTTGCCTAGCTTCTTTTGTATAATGTTTGTAAGATTCTCCCATGTTGTCCCATGTAGCTATTATCTGCTCATTTTCATTGCTGTTATGTCCTGCTGTATTAGTCTGTCTCTGTTGCTTATAACAAAATACACAGAACTGGATAATTTATAAGAAAATGAAATTTACTGCTTACTTTCTGAGGCTGGGAAGTCCAAATTCCAGAGAACACATCTGGTGAGAGCCTTGGTGGTGGTGATATTGACATCAGAATATCACATTGCAAAAAGGGTGGAGCAGAGAGAGGCACTAACCTCATTCACTCTCCTCTTAAAGCCCTCAGAACCGTGCCCCTGATAACCATTATTAATCCATTCACTATGGCATAGTCCTGAAATCTAATCACCTCCCCCAGCTTTCAACTACCATAATAGGATTTCCCACCCTCAACAGTTACAGTGGGGAATAAGCTTCAATGAGGTTGGGAGGCATCCAGTCTACAGCACCCACTTTATGAATATATCCAAATTTATGGATATTTAGTGTATTTTCAGTTAGGACTCTAACTAGGCTTTGGCTTTAAGTATTCTTGTATATGTATCCTGGTATATTTGTGCATAAATTTCTCTAAAGCAGTGGTTATCACATTTTTGGGTCTTAGAATATTAAAAATTAAAAATTAAAGTTTTAAAATTAAAACACTTAAAATGAAAAATTGAGACATTTAAATATATGTATTGAATAATTTGTTTATAATAACAATAAACCCACAACATGTTGTGCTTATTTCCTGAGGATCTCATAACAAATTACCAAAACTTGGTGGCTTAACACAACAGAAATTCTCTTGTAGTTGTGAAAGCCAGATGTCTGAAATTAAGGTGTTGCCAGGGTTGGTTCCTCCTTCAGGGAGGCTCTGAAAGAGAAGCTGTTCTTAGCTTCTCTCTTAGCTCTTGGTGGCTGTGGGCAATCCTTGGTGTCCCTTGACCTGTAGACACATCACTACAATCTGTGACCTCATCTCCACATGGGGTTCTCCCCATGTGTCTCTGTATCTGTGTGTTACAAATCTCCCTTTCCTTTCTCTTATAAGGACACCAGTCAATTGGATTTAGGACTCACCCTAAATCCAGGATCATCTCATCTTGAGATCCTGAATCTAATTACATCTGCAAAAGCCTATTTCCAAATAAGGTCATATTCACAATGGTTAGGATTTGAACACATGTTTGTTGGGGAATACAATTCAACTCACTACACATGTTTACATAAATAACAGATCTTTTAATGAAAAATAACTATATTTTCCAAATAAAAATTGAGAGAGAAGAGTGACATTGCTTTACATTTTTATACATATATTTCGTAACTAGATTCATAGAAGTAGCTGGGTGCTAAACAACTTTTACATTCAATCTGCTATGACGTTGTTTTGGTTGAAATATATAGTGAAAATCCAGGGGGTTCAGAGGCCCCAGGAAAAAAAAAAAAAGTGTGCTTCAGAGCACAGTTTGAGAACCACTATACTCTAAAGAATATGTAAAGTGAAATTTCCATGGAACACACACACACACACACACACATACTTTTTGTTAGATAATGCCACATTGTTTTCCAAAGTAGTAGTACCAATTCACATTTATAGGAGCAGTGTGTAAGAGATCTTGTTGCTCTGTATGCTCACAATATCTGGTATTGCTACACTTCAAAATTTTTGCTTATCGGGTTGTGTTTTACTGTGACTTTAGTGTTATTCATTCTTTTTTGTCTTTTTGTCTTGCCATTTTATGTAGAAGAAACTGAGGTTTGTTTAAAAGAGCCAGGTTACTTGCCCAAGGTCACAGAGTTAGTAACTAGAACCCACATTTTCTAATTTCAAATTCAGTCTTCTTCCCACTCACCAATAATGCTTTTGTTTCTGGCCCAGTTCTCATGAGGGTTCAATTTCCCCCAAATCACCTCCCAGCAATTAAGGACCTTGACTTCATAGGTCTTCTCTATTCCTTTCCCGTCTTTGGAGGCTTTCGGTGCTCCAGGCCGCTGCTGGACTGCGGGGCAGCCCTGCATCTCCCTCTCATAATACTCTCTCCCCCACCCCGCCCACTTCCCTATCTGGCCCTATCTGGTTCTATTTCCTTGTCATAAACCCTCTCTACTCGCCCTCTGCTGACTGGAGCCTCACCGTGGTCATTTATTTAAAAAATACCTAATTCGAGTTTATATACATGAGAAAATGCATAATGGACTATAAAGAAACATCACCTGTAACTATTAACGTTACTATTTTTTTAAGCCTTCCAACACAAAGCAGTTGTGGGATCATAGGCAAGTTATTCAACTTTTTTTGAGCCTCCATTTCCTCATCAGTAAAATAAGCATAACACCTACCTTACCGGGTTGTTTGAAGGATGTAATAACAATATATGGAATGTGCTTAGCAAACTGCTTGATGATAAGGAGTGCTTAATAGATCTTTATTTTTATTTAACAAAAGCTTATCCTGTGTTTACTATGTGACAACCACTCTTCTTGGTCCATTTTCCAAATATTGAAACCTTGCAATAATCCTCATTTTGAAGATGCAAAGAGAGAAGCAGAGAGTTTAAGCAACTGGCCCAAGGACGCACAGCCAGAAAGCAGCAGAGCAGGGATTAGAACTCCTGCAGTCTGCTCCCGGAATTAGCGCTCTTTGCCAAGATGCTTCCCCCGAATAGTAATTATTATTCATGAGAAAACTCTCCGCAAAATGCATAGCCCTCCACCACCGGTGACTAGTCCCCAAGGGCAAAATGAGCTCTTCAAGATTCCCTCGGAGACTCCCCCAGCGTTCAGCTTTCAAAGACAAAAGCCACGGGAGCGTAATCACCCTCGCAGAGCGATAGTTCCGTTGGGGAAATGGCCGCCACACCCCTTCTCTTGGCCACGCCACGCCACGCCATGCCGGCCACGCCCCTCATCCCAGGCTGCGGCGGAGGTAGAGACGTCGCTTCGCGGGTTTCCACGTACACACTCCAACGCCGCTCCCCCGAGGAGAACACATCCGGGTCGCCTCAGGCCCCGCCCCTTCCCTTCAAGCATTCACGCTCACTTCCGGCCATCTCAGGCGTTTTCTACTTCTTCTCTGCCGGCTTTCTCTTCGCACCCCAGGTCGTTTCCTGGTCCCTGACCCCGGCGCCTAAGCGCCCCTCACACGAACCCAGAGCCTAGTTTTCATTCCGAATCTCTCCGAGGCTCGGAGCGGCTCTGCCGTGCGTCTTAGCGGGGCGGCCCGGGCTAAGGCCTTCCGCGCAGACCTGACCCCGCGTCTCGCCACAGCTTCGTCGAGGTCTCCTCCGCCGCCGCCGCCGTCGTCTCGGGATGCCGCGGCCGGGGTCCGCGCAGCGCTGGGCGTCCGCCGTGGGCCGTTGGGGCTGCAGGCTGCTAGCGCTGCTGCTGCTGCTGCTGCTGCTGCTGGTGCCGGGGCCCGGCGGCGCCTCTGAGATCACATTCGAGCTGCCCGACAACGCCAAGCAGTGCTTCTACGAGGACATCGCTCAGGGCACCAAGTGCACCCTAGAGTTTCAGGTATCACGGGCCTGGCAGTCCGTGGGCCCCAGCTGGAGGCTCCAGGGTTGAGGCTGTAACCCGCGGGGGTGCCTCTCTCCTGTCCGAGTTTCTCCGTGTTTTGGCTAATTCAAGAATTACTTCTAGGTGCTGATGCAGGACATTTGGCTTTCCTCTTCTAAACCTTGGGCGAGAGACATTTAAGAATTCCAGAAACGCCTACACTAGCTGTGACATTTCTTTCCATTCTCTAATGTCTTTCATTTTAAGCCCTATTGAACTTTTTTCCTTAAAGGATTCCCCCCCAAAAAAATTGTTCCTGCTCTTTAGTGCCTAATGTCAACCCCCCCTAGACAGTAATCAACCCCCACTAATCCACACCTCCTCTTTAATCAGATTTGAAGTGCGGCCATTATCTAACCCCCATTACTTTTCAGTTTTTTCCAGTGACAGTAGGACTATTGGCTAATGTGGTCCTTGTCATTGGAAGAGCTCCATTAGAGACCGAACGACCAAAGGTGGTGTAGAAATAATTGCTGTGGTAAATGAGAGGTCCCTTCTGATCTTTGGGATTAGATTTTTAAAAGGAACTTTATTTAACCGGATGTGTTCTCATCAGTTGATTGTAACAATCTTTACTCGTTCAGTTTTTGTTGGTAGGCTCATTTAACATTTGAGCAGCTATTGAATGCTGGGTGCTGGTGATACAGAAGTGATCAAAACAGGTAGGGTCACTGCCGTCATTCTTGATTCCCCTCCCATCCTACCCTTCTTAATTAGTACCTGCTCGTTCATCAGAACTGTGTTTTAAGAGAAGTAAATAGGAGATATGTGATCTGATCTTTGTGATCCATGAAAGTTTCCTTTAGAAAATGATTTTAAGCTGAACTTTAAAGGATGAGTTGTAAGTACTTTGGTAAGGGAGAAGAGGGAATATAGCCTGTGGTAAGAGTGAGCACTGAGAATTTGAAGACCATAGAGAGGTCCAATGTAGTTAGGAAAAAGGAGCCGGAGGAAGGGAGGTCAGCAGGAGCCAGACCATATAGTGCCTTGCTAGCCAAGGCAAGGGTTTTAGTTTTTCCTAAGAGTAAGAGAAGCTATCCGAGGGTTGTAAGCAGTTCAGTGACATGACCAGAATATTCTTGGTAGCTGCATGGATAATAACTTATGCAGGTAGAGAAGGTATGGTAAGGAGTTGCAGAGTGGGTGTGGAACACTGATTAGGAGGCTGTCTTGGTGGTCCAGGTAATAACTGATACTGGCTTAAACTAGGATAGTAGCATTGGAAAGGAGAAAAATTGAAAGGCATGGAGAAAAGTAGTAGGTAAAATCAATAGGACTTGGTGATGATTTGGCTATAGGGGGCGAGGGAAGAGATGCTAAGGATGACCTGTGGATCAGGACCAGGTAACAGAAGATAGCAGGAATTATAAAGTGTAAGCCAAATTTTTCTTTGTTCGAATTTAATAAACATTTCTTGAATTCTTATGTGTGCAGAAGCTGTGCTTGGTGCTGAGGATACCACTACAGTAGCTAAAAAATTAGCATCTGTTATGTGTAGACAGTATGCCAAGCATTTCAGGTGTATTAGTTAATTCTCAGTAATATTCAGTATGAAATAGATACAGTGGTTGTTTCCTGATAAAACTGGCTTAGCTAGGTTAAGACCCAAGGTCACAAAACTTAGAAGTAGCAGAGACACTATGTGATCTCAAGTTAAAATATTTTTTTTGTTTGTTTTTTTGTTTTTGGTGGCTGGCTGGGATCAGCACTAGGCTCTAATCAACTGAAGTAACCAGCCAGTCCTCAAGTTAAATTCTTAACTACTTTATTATATTGCATTCCAAAGATAAAAAAGACTGACCTTGACCTCAGAAAACTTCATACAGTTGTGATGTTATATTCAACAATAAAAGTACGCACTAGGTATAGTGCTGGTGGAGGAGAGGGATCATTGGGGGAATTTAGTTCAGGGGCTGATGTTTGAGCTGAGTCTAGAAGATAAGTGGTAGTTACTCTACAAGGTGGCTGAGGAGGGAGGAAAGGGCATCCTAGGTAGATATGCTTGTGAGAATTCCAGGAGGCCTGAAATTAGCCTGAGCTCTTTTGCTAAATTTTGTGCAAATATATTGAGTAATAATAGTTTTGCTTTGTGACTATGAATCCAAGGACTTTGGGGGTGGTTTGTACCAGTTTGTCATTATTTATTGATAACAGTGAGATTGATGATTTGCACCAGCTCTTGGTGAGAGCTCCCCTGCCCCCCAAGGGCTCTGCTGTTGAGACTGGTTACACAGCAGGAATATGCCTGTGTGACCAGCAAAATATTAAACCCAGCCAAGACTCCTTTTTGGGTTTCTTGGTTCCAGGGTATTCTTTTCACTCTTGGGTGGTTCCTGATTTGAGAAAGTTATGTGTCTGGCCACAGACCTGGGTCAGGGGAAACAGTGGAGTCCAGACCTCTTGCTGTGGGACAGCCTTTGGCTGTGATGTTTTGTATTGTATTCTTTTCCTGAAATAAACTGTAGATTTGTAAGCACTGTTATTTTGGTCCTGTGATTTTTCTTTAGCAAACAAACTCTATTGAACTGAAACTGTCAGTTCAGATGTAAAGCAAAGACTTGTTCAGGGAACTTCTCGTAAGCTGGAACATAGAATGAGCAAGGGTTTGAATTAAGGAGATGCTGAGGTATGCCATTGTTAACAGGTTTGGATTTTTCTGTAGGCCACAGAGAATTATCTAAAGGTTTAAAATTAGTTCTCAGTGGGGGATGAGTAAAGATGGAGAGGTTGCCCGCCCCCCATGGTGCTGTTACTGGTATTTAGTGGGTACAGACAAAGAATGTTGCTGAATATGCTACAGTGCACAGCACCCTACAGCCAAGAATTATCCAGCTCAAAATGGGAATAATAATGAGAAACCTTGGGATAGAAGAAGAGATTGGGTTGTAGGAAGACCTTTTAGGAAGTTGTGGCAGTAGTCCTGTCTGGATTGTGGATTAGGAATGGAAGGAATGGGATGAATTTGAGAGAGGCAATAAGATCAAGAGATTTCTGTAATCATTTGGATGGGTAGAGACACCTAGTTTGGGATGATCTCCAGTTTCAATTGTAGGTGACCAGACAGGCTTAAAGGGGTACTATTAACTGAAATAACATTACTTGTTTTAAAGTTTGATGGAAGAAAATAGGGTGATGATCAGTTCTGGTCCTACTCAGTTTCTATGGATGTATTTGATTTTTCAAAGTACAAAGGCTATATATGAATAATTAATTGGGTATATTAAAATTAAGTCATTATTTTCACCTGGAGAAAAGATTATTGACTTTTTGGGGGATAAGTTGATAAGATACTCTGTCAAAACAGTTTATCTGTATATTACAGTTTATGTATTTTTTAGTTTTCTAAGTATATAATTACGTTTAATTATAAAAATTGTCTTGAAATACAGTTAGTCATCGTGACAAAAGGTCATATAAGTAACAGATACTTCTTCAAAGTCCAAAGTTTAACCTCTCTGTTCTACTGATCTAGAATGTCAATATTATTCTAACCAAGAGGGTTCACGCTTGAAAATAACAAGGTTTTGCCACCCAATCTCATTGCAGTTGGAAAACCTCAAGCTGAATATCTGTTCCTCGTCACATCTTAAGTGGATACCTTCACTCCATGTTTCTTCTGTCTCCTCTCCCTCTTTCTTCCTACTCATTTCTTTCTCATGTAAGGAAGTCTTTCTCCTCTTTAATCCTTTTCCCCCTTTGTCTCTTATGATGCTTGCCCAGTTACCTCAGGAAAAAAACTCTCCCTTCCCTTTCTTTCTATTTGTGCAGCCCACATGGCCCAAATTGTAACTGATTAAGCATAAGCCCTTGAAAATAGCTCTACAGTTCACTTCAGATTCCTTTCACTTACCCCTGGCTTTCCTTTCAATATGCTTGCCCTTAAATACAGACTTTCCAGATGAACAGATTTTTTTCCTTTTGTGTTGTTCTATTTTGGTTTTGTTTTAATCACAAGTATTTAAACAATATTTTGTTTAATCGGTTGTGTTTCTCTTGGAAGCAAGGTTGTAAATGATAACTGTACATATTCTTAGAAAGGCCCCCCTACATTATTCAACTCATAATGATGTAGTTCAAAACAAAATATGTATCAAATTCTACATAACCGTCTATAAAAGAATTTAAGAAACAATCTATTTTTAATTTGGCAGTAAAATGAGGTTTAAGTTCTGTGATAGAAGTTTGCATAGGATGTTATGCTAAGGACTGACATACCTTACTACTTCGTTACACTATCTGTTCATGTGCTTGATGCTAATTGGAACCTGGGTGAGAAAATCTTCAGAAGGAAAATATATGGCAGTAAGCTTAGGGGTTACGGATAATGACTTCGGATTCAAGTTCTGCCTCTGCCACTTACTAGATATTTTTGAGTAGGTTAACTTATTTCAACATTAGTTTCTCAGTCTGCCAAATGCAAGGAAAAAAACTTCTCTTGTAGGGTTGTTGGCAGAATTAAGATATATAATAGACTTAAATTAACTAGCACAGTTGTCTGGCTAGTTTAAAGTGAATAAAAGTTCCCTCTCTCCTGCATGAGGAAACTTGTTCAGTTTCTATAAAGCTTTAGTTGAACTGAAATCTGCCTCACAAGTTACATCCACTGGTGAAAATCAAAAAATGTAAAATTGTCCTGTGATAATAAAAGTCATTATTGCTATTTTAACAGGAAATCTCATTAATTTCTAAAACTTGTTAGTTGGAGTGATCTCTTTTTATTGAAATCTCTTATAGGTGATTACTGGCGGTCACTATGATGTAGATTGTCGATTAGAAGATCCTGATGGTAAAGTGTTATACAAAGAAATGAAGAAACAGTATGATAGTTTTACCTTCACGGCCTCCAAAAATGGGACATACAAATTTTGCTTCAGCAATGAATTTTCTACTTTCACACATAAAACCGTATATTTTGATTTTCAAGTTGGAGAAGACCCACCTTTGTTTCCTAGTGAGAACCGAGTCAGTGCTCTTACCCAGGTAAATAAAAAGCTAGCAATGTAATGTTGGTATATTTAAGGGGAGGAAAACATAATATTATGTTTTAACTCACTGATGAACTTTGAGACTTAACACAGTCTTTAAAACCTAATTCTTATAGTAAATTAGACATTTCACAGAGAACTTCAGACTTTTATAGTGAAATTCACCACTGTTAAAAGATTTTATGAACTTTTAAGTGTAAAGAAAGTAAGAAGCATTAAAATAAGAGGAAGATTACTAAGGTAAAAATAATAATAGTAAAGAAAATTTAGGAAGGCTAAGCCCCGCTCCAACATTCTGAAACATTTTCTGTAATGTGGGAGGTTATGTTGCTCCCATACCTTAGTAGGTTGCTGTAACTAGAACTAAAATGTTCCCTAAATTAATATATCGGTATACTACAAGGTAGTCTTTAAACAGGTACTTTGAGTTATTCAAGTTGCTGTTACAATATTTTTTGCTGTAATTAAGGTAAAATGTTGAAGATTAATGGTAAGTCATCTAATGAAAATAGTTACAGATGCTGAATTGGGTTTTATTTTGAAGAAAAGCTTTTTAAGAGAAAGATAGTGAAAGAAATTTAAAGCCAGTAAACAGACACTGCTCAGTTGATGAGTTGTTTTACTTCTAGTTCAAGTATAGCATGAGCTTAGATAATATCTAAAAGATACTCAGCTAGGCATCACAAAGAATTATTTACCACTTGTTAAAACCTCAAACTGGTATTTCAGTGTTCCCAAGTTCCATTTATTTCTTCTCGTGGTGATGGAGGCAGTTTTAAGAATGAGTAAAACACATTAGCGAGATGTTTTCAAATGCTCTTAGTTTTAGAAATGTTCTCTTTATTTTAGGATCCTATATGAAAGGCACTGAGCTTTGTAAATTCTTTTTCTGTGGGGCCATTGTTTATAACTTAACCTGTATTCACTGCTTCATGAATTTTAACTTGTATAATAAGGTAGCTGGCTCTAAAAATCTAAGTGACTACATATAGGAAATGAGTGGTAATAAAGCAGTACCACTTGCCTCTTTTATTCATATCGCAATTTTTAAAAAATTTTTAGTCTTGGGGCCGGCCTGTGGCTCACTCGGTAGAGTGCGGTGCTGATAACACCAAGGCCACGGGTTAAAAAATTTTTAGTCTTGGGGCCGGCCTGTGGCTCACTCGGTAGAGTGCGGTGCTGATAACACCAAGGCCATGGGTTCGGATCCTATATAGGGATGGCCGGTTTGCTCACTGGCTGAGCGTGGTGCTGACAACACCAAGCCAAGGGTTGAGATCCCCTTACCGGTCATCTTTGGAAAAAAAAAAAAAAATTTTAGTCTTTTCTACTTTCAGAAAGGTAATAAGTCTCTCATATACTAGGGATACCTATAAAGCAGGTGTTCATACTTTAAAATTGAAAAAATCATCAGCTAGTAAATTCATAATAAATGATAGAGTTTTAATGTCACCATTTTTACTCGTTAATAAAATGATGGATCTAGAGTAGGCAGTGATCATCAGTCACTGCTAAAACCATTAGATGAAAGGCCAGTGAGGAACTTTATAATGGATGGATCAGACTGATACTACCTAATGATCATTCACAAATGGAGAGCGAACTAGACATTATGTACCTTGTGATAATATGCAGTAAAAAGTACAGAACACTCACTGTGACTATGAGCAGTTCCCACCCAGAACATTACACCTTAATCCCATCAAGTCTCTAGCACCAACTGCCAGTTTACCACCTTGTGATAATATGCAGTAAAAAGTACAGAACACTCACTGTGACTATGAGCTGTTCCCACCCAGAACATTACACCTTAATCCCATCAAGTCTCTAGCACCAACTGCCAGTTTACAAGAAATACAAAGGAAGGAGGAACACCATGGGAATGCAATCAGCAAAATCCAGGAAGTGTGAAATGCCACAGGGTAAAGGATCCAGTTTCTTCAAGAAATTGATGTCAAGGAAAAAAGTAAGAGAGCCTAAAGATTAAAGAAGACTTTAAAAGCATATCAGCCAAATGATTGTCTTGACCTTGTTTGGATTCTGATTTGAAAACAACCTTTGAGACATTAGGGGAAATTTGAACACTAACTTTATATTTGATGACTTTAAGGAGCTATTTTTAATTATTTCATGTGTTATAATGCTTTGGGGGTTATATTTTTAAAAAGTGTTAGTCTTTTAGAAAGCATAAAAGTATTTGTAGCTGAAGTGATAAAATATCTGGGATTTACTTTAATTGGGGAAAATAGGTGGGGAATATAGATGAAACAGGATTGGCCTTGTGTTAATAGTTATTCACATGAGGGTTCATTGTACTATTCTCTGTACTTTTGAATACATATAAAAGTTTGCACTTTACAGGTTAAAAGAAAAAAAAACACATCTCAAAAATGTATGAATCCTTGTAACTAGTGTCTTAATTTTTGTGATTTTCTCCAGTCAAGCAGTTCTTAACCCATACTCCATGGATAGGCTTTAAGAAGTCCTTAAACGTTCTGAATTTGTGTGAAGTCCTTGCTTTTATGCATACTTTACAGGTGAAGAATGCTTGGGCCACATTTCATTTTGAGAATACATAGAAAGCAAAGAAGTGGTAGAAGCATCTCTCTCTCTAGCCCCTTATCACAAATTAGAAGTTATTCATTCTAGCATAGTTTTGCTAATCTTTACGTTCTAGGGGCCTAAACAAAACAAAAACAACAAAAACATTTGCATATTGTAATAGTAATATGTAAATTCAATTTGTTGACCTCATAATTTCTCACATTTTTTAAAAGCATCTTTAATTGAATATTTTTATAATTATTTTATGTATATTTTGGTAGAACTTTTTTAAACATTTAAATTATTTTCTAATCTTTGTATTTCTTAATTAAAACTAAGACAAACTCAGATTTGTCCTTAAAATTCTTAATACATGGTTCGTGATATAAAATAATAATGATGCATTTATTTCATCACCAGGAGTAAGTTTTTAGCAGTTGAAAATATTAAACACTGGTATGCAGAAAAATTAGATACCATTCTCAAAGCAGATGGTGTAATAAATGTGTAAAAAGGTAAGGTATCAGATGAAAGCTCACAAACTGATTACACAGTCAGATTGAATCCCATTGGGAACATATATATTGGTTTAGTTGACTAGTATAAGGGATTATTTAGCAAATAGATAAATGTTTTTAAAAAAAAGTTTCTGTTTTGATCTATCACTTTTAGATTCAAAAGTTAGCTAAGGATTTTGATAAATAATATGCCTGTTTTAAAAATAGTTCAAGTAACTTTGACTAACTTAACCTGTTTTTATGTTATGTTTGGTTTATTTTTGTAAATATTTGGGCTTTGACTTATACTCTCATTATTGGTGAACTTACTGACCTGCCATTCTCTTCTTCCTCATTTTTCTCTGAAGAACCTGGGCTTGAAATTCTCTAGCTACAAGTGTCAGCTGATAGTATTTCTGCTATTGTTAGCTTAGTGTTCCATCTACCACTTTACTTACTGATGCCACAGTTGTGACTTTCCAGTCTGGGGAGAACAGCTGCTTCACGAGAGCTCTAGCTTTACCAGTTGTCCTAGAGGTCCTAGTGGGAGTGAGCAGAGGGGTTGCATTGCCAGAACAACTGTCATAAATGAATGAGTGAATGATTGAGTGCCAGTTTAGTAGAATGTTAATCAAATGAAGACTTAAGATGAGACTGAAAGATGAATATGCTAGATGGAGTATACAGAAAGTATTCAACATACTAACTGAAAATATTTCTCTTTAGATGGAATCTGCCTGTGTTTCAATTCATGAAGCTCTGAAGTCTGTCATCGACTATCAGACTCATTTCCGTTTGAGAGAAGCTCAAGGCCGAAGCCGAGCAGAGGATCTAAATACGAGAGTGGCCTATTGGTCAGTAGGAGAAGCCCTTATTCTTCTGGTGGTTAGCATAGGGCAGGTATTTCTTCTGAAAAGCTTTTTCTCAGATAAAAGAACCACCACAACTCGTGTTGGATCATAACTACGTTTTAAGAGTTGATGCACCATTGCCACTGTAATATTGCTGTCCTCTAATTAATTTTAGGTACTGAAGAACTTAATATTGGCAACATTTTTAAAACCTTACTCATACACTTGTTGGGAGGGATGTTCAATGCATATCCCCAAACTCTGGAAAGGACACCTTTTTTTATGTGTAAAGGTGGAAAACTTTGGAACTTATTTTGGGCTATTCATGTTAAATATTCAACACCAATGATCTACTTTTTTCTTGGTTGTTTATATTTACTCTTCACAGACTAAACTTTGGTATTTTGATTCCTTTTAGCCATTTAAAAGTACTTTTCTTATAGGTAGTTAATATTTTAAAAACCTTAGATCTGTGTACATGTGTTATGGAGGAAGAAAATTGCCTTTTTATTGTTTATAGTGAATAAAGATTTGTTTTTAAGAAAACCAAATGTGATTAACTGTAGCCCAAGCCCTGTTCTGCACTGTTTATTGGGGGGGGGAAAATCTACCATAGGAATGTTAGTTAATATTGATATAATTTTTAATTGACACATCATTGTATAATTTACTTCTCACTAACTTGGAAAGTGTCAGACTTGTTTTGGGGGTTTATTTTATGATTTATAACCAGCTACATTATTTTTTCCTAAAAGCATTCTTACCACAGAAAACCATGTGTTTCAGTAGCATAATAGAGTTTCTACAGGCCTTAAAAAATCAGACTGTTAATAACAGGCAGAATAATTACAGAATAATTTAAGACACTACAATGGAAGCAAGTGAAATAGGGAAATTTTTAATGCGTTATATGCTCTGCACTCATTACATTTTCAGTGCTTTTACAAAGGAAAAAGATATTCTGTTTTACCATTTTAATTGGCTGGTTCTTAACCTATGTGGCTTTAATTTCTTTGAGTCATTACCAGCTTAAATTGACAGTTGTAATATTAGTATCACATTAGTGCCATACATTTTATCCTCATGGGTGTGATGCACTGAGAAGTTAGTTTCTTTGTTTTTTTCCGTCTTTGTTTTTGTCTTGCACATCTTATTTCTACAATCTCTGGTTAGCAACCCTAAAGTGATTTTAAAAACGTTAAGTGCTGTGTGTTTCCTGTTTTGTGATCTTTATTGATTGTATTTCATTTAGTGTACATTCAGTACACTATAGGGTTTAGACAGTTTGCATTTCATAAACCTGTATAGATGGAGCTGAGTGAAAAAAGATTTTGTTTCAAGCATTCAAGAATAGGATATAACATGACGCAAAATTGTATCGTAATTTAAAGCTTTTCTGCTGTTTTTTTTTTTAAAATGCAACTGTTTTTCTTCCATGCCTCCCTTCCCCACCCAAATGTGATGAGTACTGAAAAAAACTCATATCGTAGAGACTTTGATATGTGATACCATAGAATACTGATTGGATAACAATTCTAGTCATCCTAACTGACTAGAAGTTGACTCTTAATTCTAAGCTGTCTTAAAATGCATATATACACTTTGCATGTAGAATTCTGCAAAATGAATTCAAATTGTCATGTTTGCTAATTTCAGATACCACAGTGTAGCAGGGGTGAACTTGTTTTCAGCCCTTTAATTTTAAGATTTTTGAAGACGAAATAACTACTCCTTAAACACCATTTATCAATGGATTAAGAAGTAAAGTTTAAGATTTTGCAGATTTATCTGTTTGGGTTCTTGTATTCAAGTTGTCCTGCAGCTTTGTAAGTGTCCCTTTATATTTAGATTTGAAAGTTTTAAACACTAATGTTAATGTGATTGATAAGCATGGGCATATGTAAAATGTCCTTTTCTGGTTGCCTGTCTACTCTATTGTGTTCAGATATTATACCATAATTAAACAGTCAGGTATAGATCTTACTGAGTTGGCATAGATAGTACACTCATTTAATCTGTGCCTTTCAAAACTTTATATTAGATTATAACCACAAATCATTTTTGATCAAACTATTGGGATATATTAAAATTTTTGAAATCACTGCTGTTATCTGTTGTAGAAAATAGTGTGGGCTTAGTGTAGGCTTTATGTAACTGGTTAAATTTTGATGGCTGTCTATACTCAACTGGGTACGTATGTATAGATTAGAAAATACATGTCTATCTAGACAGAAATGCTAAGTAACATTTTTTTCTTCCTCCTACTACATAATTTGTAGCTCATCTTATTTCTTTAATCCTTTCATAACTTGTTGCAGCAGTTTGAATTTCTCAAATATTTATGTTTGGACATATGGCTCAGAATACATATTTGAACATCATAGTTGTATATATTTTTAAAGTATAATAAATAATGGAAAATGACTTGATATACAAGTTTATACAAAAATTTCAATTGTGTGAAGATACATTTTAAGATATTACTTTGCTAAAAATTGAAACATTCTTTTTTCTATTAAGGAAACAAACGGTTTTTGGTTCACAGCTTTCATCCAGGCTTGATGATAATCAACTTTGAAAATACAGTGGACTGAAAAGCAGTTTTATTCTTTGAAAGACTTCATTTAAAGCTCTGTACTATCCATTTTTGTCTTAGTTTGTAAATGTGTAGCATTTATAATTAAATAGGACAAAGCAGACCCTATGGCTATTGTTTTCAAAAATTAAATTAATATATAATAAATTCAAAGGGGATTTTCATTTATTTTTGAATAGAAAAAGAAATTTCTCTGAATTAACATATGTTGGTTCTGCAGGATTGCACCAATCAGTTTCTTGTAGAATAAAAAAATCTTTCAAAAAACTGATTTCACTTGTTTCTGTTAGGATTTAAATCTTTCTAAAGCTCCTTATAAATTTACAGCTTGGAGTACAGTTTTGTGACAAGAGTGATTATTTATTTGGTAATTCATTAAAACATCTGAGGGACTGGCCAAGAAATAAAGAAGAAATACCAACTCCATCCTGCCTCATTTTTAACCTTTTCTTTGCATTCCTTATTGAAAGTGTGTGGGTGAAAGACAGTTAAGCCATCAGTTGCTTTAAAAAGCTCTTAATTTTTTAGTAAATTAACTTTAGGTTTTATAACACACAGTTCCATCGATTTTTTTTTTCTTTGTCTTCATAGTGCAGTCAGAGGGTCAGTGGTTCCTGAACACAGTTCTACAGAAGTAGCAGGCAAATAACAGTAAATATAGATTAACATTTATTGAATGCTTACTATGTGTTAGTTGCTGTACTAAGTATTTTACTTGTGTTGACACATTTCATCTTTGCAATAATCCTATAAACTAAGGATATTATTCCCATTTTACAGATGAGACAGACGTAGAGAGGTTAAGAAGTCTGCTCACGTCACACAGTAATTAGAATCTAAATATGAACCAAAGTAGTCTGGCTCCAGAGTCCTCTTCCTCAACCACTGTTGCCTTACAAACACCAAATAAGGGTAGATTTCTAAAGGCTTAGCTATCTTGATTTCACTGTAGCTCAATAGCAATTCGGTGCTTTGGCTTTGGAGTTTTAGCCAAGTTCAAATCATGGTTGTGTGACGTTGTACAAGTAATTTAATTATATTTCTATTTTTTCCATCTGCTACTCAGGTAATACCATTTAGTGTGAGAATGAAATGAGATGTTTATAAAACACTTAGGATCAATACTTAGCATATATAATCACTTAGTAACTGTATTTTTATTATTGGTTCAGTTCTAATCTCTTGATCTTTCTTTAGTTCTTATAGTTCTTACTGTGGCGTCTATTCATGTGGCTCTTAAACAATACATGACACAAATATGAAAGGGTTTGAATGTCTCGTGCATATAACAGTCTGCTAGAAGTTTCAAGAGTGAATAAGATGGTCTGACTGATAGGAACATAACCTAGTTGGAGACCGGATGCCTATATGAGCGACTAATATTGCACAAGTAATGAAGCTGAATGGACTTATAAGGGTCCACAATATTTATAAAGTGCTAGAGGAAGAAGAGAATATATAGATCAAAAGACTTACTCCTTAAGGAGTTTAACTTAGTTTCCCCACAAGAGAGGCCTATGATTGTGTGACTGCCAGTAATTGGTTTAATCTCTAATTCAGGGATTTGGGGTATTAACCAGTCCCTGTTGCTACAAATTCATAAGCATGTTCTTTAACTTTGTTAACAATAAAGATGATGTTTGATCTCCTGAGTAACTTCTCTATCTCAGGAGTTTCTAAATTCTGGAGGTAAATATAATTATATTCTATTTTTTGTTTTCTGTTTTTTATTTATTTTTGGTGGGGGAGATGAGGGAGAGGCAGGGATCAAACCCTGGACCTTGGTGTGTTATCAGTACCACTCTAACCAACTGAGCTAACCAACTGGCCTTATTCTATTTTTTGCTCCACATTCCTCCATTTTATCCACGAGATATTACCATTAGGAATTAGATTCCTTGCTGAAATCCAGTTATACTAGAACTAACACTGGTATGGCATAATCTTTTTAGTGCTTGTAATTACTAATGACACTACCACCTTAAAAAGAGAATGCAACATTTTATAAATAATGGTTCAAACAATAAAATCCACCCGTACCTCACCATTCATTTTGGTGTATTTCAGTTATTTTTATGGATATTTCTAAAGAAATTGGTATTTACACTGTCTATAACAAATTTTTTAACTTTTTAAATTGTGAACTCTATCACAACACAAAAGGGGTTATTCAACATGTGCAATTTAAAGAGATAAAATTGCAAAGCATACACTCATCTAATGCTCAGGTTAAGAAACAACATTGCCGGTATCTTAGAAAGCTCCTGTGTGTCCTTTCCTGGCCACATCTCTGAATCTCTCCACTTGAGAAAACCAATATTCTGCTTGTAATGAAAATAATTTTCTTACTTTTCCTTGTATTTTTACCAGTTAAGTGTACTAGTTCTTACACTTTTAATTCCCAAGCCATCACAGATTGATACTTTTGTAAATACAAAATCACCTGTTTGAATGTGTTGGCAATGTCAAGTTGCTATCATTGTTTCTAAATGCTTACTTTCTATTTGTCACTTTATATGCTTATTTCTTCATCAGCCAATAACAAACAGCTGATCAGTACAACTTGTGGACCACACTTTGAGTAGTGCTAATGTCTGCATTCCTTAAAAATATTCTAAAATATCAGGTGAAAGTAAACATAAATAAATAAAATTTAATATTAATAAAGTATCAAATTATATTTAATAAATATTACATGTATTCTTTTGTCACTTTTGCTCAACATTGAGAGTTATCCATGTTGATGCATATGGCTGTAGTTTGTTTTCATTGCTGTGTGGTAGTTCATCATGAATACATCACAGATATGTGTCTCTTCTACTGTGATGGCATTTGGATTGTTTTTTGCTATTAACAAAGTTACTGTGTGAACATCCTTGTATATACGTGCTGTTACATGTATGTAAGATTGAGAATACATCTAGGAGTGGAATTGGTGGGTCATAGGATGTGTGTGTCTCCAACTTTACTAGATCATATCTAACTTTCCCAAATATATCAATCAGTGCTTTCAGCGTTGGAAGGTTCCACATTCGGTATTGTCAGACTTTAAAACTTTCAAAAATCTTCTGGCCTTATTATGGTACCTCATCATTGCTTAATTTGCATTTTCATGAGGTTATTTTTTTTCCCCACAGATTTATTTGCCATTTGGATTTCCTTTTTTGTTAAATTCCTTATCAGATCATTTTGTCCATTTTTAAAAATTGGAATGTTTATCTTTTCTTTTGGTTAACAGGATTCCTTTATATTTGGGATACTGATACTTTGGTGGTAACTTCAAATGTCTTCTCCCAGTTTGTGTTTATCTTTCTGCTCCTACTGAAGTTTACCAGTTTTTTGCTCTATTGTTGGTGTTTTTATGTCTTGTTTAAAAACTACTTCCCTCTTTTGAGGCCATGAATATCTTCTGTACTGTGTTCTAAAATATGTAGTTTTGTCTTCTACTTAAATTGAATTTTGTGTATGGGGTGAAGTAGGTAACCAGTTTTGGTTTTTTTTTTTCCCATGTCTTGAAAAATCATCTTTCTCTTTTGATTGAATGTGCCACTTCTGTCATCTATTAAATACCCACATTTACATGGGTGTATTTTTGTGCTCTTTTATTATATTGATCAGTTTGTCTGTACACCAATAACATATTGTCTTAATTATTAAAGCTTTTAAGAGTTTTTAATACCTTGTTTACCTTGTCCTTCAAGATTTTGGCTGTCATCGGTCCTTTGCATTTTTGTACATATTTTAGAATTAGCACATTAAGTTTCAACAAAACAAAATAAATCTGTTAGGATTTTGATTAGGATTATATTTGGTCTGTGAACAAGTTCTTTATAATAGTGCATTTTCTGGTGAATTAATATGTAATCTTGCCATTGTTAGGTCTTCCTTAAATCTTTCAATAAAATCTTACAATTTTCTTCATAGAAGTACTCCACATATTTTGTTTAATTAATGTTGTTTTCTTTTTTTTTTTTTGCAGCTGGCCGGCACAGGGAACCAAACCCTTGACCTTGGTGTTACAAGGCAGCACTCTAACCTACTGAGCTAAATGGCCAGCCCTGTGTTTTTTGATGCTATCTTTATATTTATTTTCTGGTGCCAGTACATGGAAATAAAAATTTTTAATTTATTTTTCTATTCAGCAACTTTGCTAAATCTTTAATTCTGGTAATTTATCTATAGATTCTTTTGAATTTTCTATAAATACAGGTGTATCCCCTACAATTAATGACAGATTTGTCTTTCAATTCCTCACACCTTTTCTTTCTTTTTCTTGTGTAATTGCATTTGCAGGGACCTCCAGTACAATGTTGAATGGAAGTGGTCATAGTAGGCATTCTTGTTTTGTTCCTGTCATCTGGGAATGCTTTCAAGGTATCCTGTAAGCATTTCATGGTATTTTTATCAGATTTAGAAATTTCCCTTCTGTCCTTAGTTTGCTAAGAGATTTTTTATAATCATAAATGATGTTGAATTTTATCAAAAGTTTTTTCTGTATTTATTGAGAAAATCATGATTTTTGACTTTTTGTTCTCTTAATTTGGTAAGTTATATGAATTTGTTTCCTGGTGTTAAACTAACCTCTTCCTGGGGTAAAACCAACCTGGCCATGATGTGGTTTGTTTTTAATAGCTGGATTTGTTTTGTCTTATGATTTTTGCTTCAGTCAAGGCTTTATTAGCCTTATAAAATGAGTTGGAAAGTAGCTTTCTTTTCCTATTTTCTGGAAGAGTTTGTATAAGAATTTTCATTTCTTCTTTCTTAAATGTTTATTAGAAATAATAGGGGAAGTATGTTCGGGCCTGTTGTCTTCTTTGTGTGGGATACCGATTCAGTTTCTTTTTAATAGGGTTCTGGTTGTCTGTTTCTTCTTGTGTAATATTGTGTAATATTGGCAAATTGAATATTCCTGTGAATTTTTCCATTTCATCGACATTTTCAAATTTATTAGCACAGTGTTATTCCTGTTCACTTATCTTTTTAACATATGCCAGATCTGCAATGATTCCACCCAGTCATTCCTGTTACTGATTATTTGTATCTTTTTTATTTGACCAGTTTTACCAGAGGTCTATTACTTTTATTGTTTTCTATGCTGTATAACACATTATCACAAATTTACCAGTTTATAAGAACAAAATTATCTCACAATATCTAGGAGACCAGAGTCTCGGCATAGCTTACCTGGATCCTCTACTTAGGGTCTCAAAAGGCTGTAAAGCAAGTCAGCTGAATTGCATTCTCATCTGGAGCTCAGGGTCCTTTTTTTTTTTTTTTCCTTTTTGTCTTTTTTCGTGACCGGCAACTGATCGCAACCCTCAGTGTCGCGCCCGGACTGGGACCGGCAACGGGATCGCAACCCTCGGTGTTGCTCCCGCACCTCGCTCAGCCAGTGAGCGGCCAGTCTGTATGTGGGATCCG